TGTCCCATGCTGGCTTGGGAATTCTGGGAGTTGAAGTCCACACATCTTAAAGTTGCCATGGTTGAGAAACACTGCTCTATAGTTATAAAATAAATCAGTCATCAAACTCCAAAATCAAAATTTCATTTTTTTGAGTCTATAGATATAGTTTGCATTAACTTTTTAAATATTTTTGCTGATACAGATTTATTTTGTAGCTTTTTAAATATTAGAGTAAGAGGTGAATATATTTTATATCTATACCTGTACCAAAGAAAGTTGAAAGTTACTTTTCTCTATTATCTTTCTTTTGCTATCTTTTTTTCTTTTCTATATTTTACTCTTTACTGAAATTTAATAAAGTTCTTAAAAAAGAGAGAGAGAGAAACACTGCTCTATTCTGATTCTAGCAAAGGATCCTGAGCTTATATTTAGACCTTCAGTTTTTCTAAACGCTTTTGCTTGCTTAACAGAGGCAAAACCACACCTGAATCAGAATGTTTTATTCATTTTAACAAATTACAAAAAATACAACACTTCCCCCCAACAGAAAGCAACAACAAAGAAAAAAGAAAACCTGAATCAGAATGGCTGCTGTCGCCACAGAAAGAGCCAGGCTGAGTCACTCTGATTTTTTGCTGCAGCTGCTTTTAAAAAGAGCTTATTGTTATCAAACAACACTGAAGAAGTCCTCCATGGCTGCTCAGCAATTTTGGACACTCCTGAAAGCAGCAGGCGGAAGGAAAGGACCATGCAAACTTAACTGGGGACAATGCTTTCTTTGGGGCAAAGTAATATGGAACAAAATGGAATTCTCTGCTCCAGGACCCATTTTTCAAACAGCTCCAGAAACTTTGCTTCTGTCTACAAGAGTGTGCAAGAAGACAGTCTTCTGGTGAGGATGTAGGAAATATAAATGAAATTGCAGAGGGTGCGCAGCACACAAGTTACCATCACCTCTGCTTAAGCCAGAAATTAGGGCCAGTCAATGCACAAGCTGCACTCATCTGCATTAAATTGTTCTACCAACGTATGCCTCTCAGTTCCACTAGGAGCAAGGAGCATCATCCTCATAGGATAAAGAAGGAAATGGAAGTGAAGATAGATTGACCTGCCCCACACTTATGTAGAAGGCAGATTTCCCAGAAGCTCCAGCTTAGTGCAGGACCTGCAACTTGTCCCAAGCCATGTAGTTCCTGGATGAGAGGAACTCAGGCAAACTTTTGCAACACAGAATCCTCCAGATGTGGCAATCAGTTTCCAGAATCCCTAGCCAGTCAACATCTCTAGAGGACACCCATGACTCATATTAAAGAAGACAGGATTGGATTTTATGGAAGAATCAGACCTTTTTTTTGTTACCCACAAATAAATGAAGGTTTGATTCAGCATGATTATTTGATTAAACTGTTGTTTTTTTTAAAAAGAAGGAAGACTAATATTACAGATATCTGAAAGGGTTTTGTTCCTCCTTCCATCAGTCAAAAATTGAAGAAACTTACCTGGGCGGGACAGAAATCTCAGTAAATTTCATAGCATGGTTTAAATACCAGAGTGTGCTTTAAACATTTTACAGAAAAAGTACTAAATCTTTTACTGAATAGGCAACTAGTCTTAATATGCCCAAACTGCTAAATGTGTGAGCATGTATGCTTCATAGGAAATAAAAGAGCACAACTTTTGATAGGCCCATGGATCTGTGCCCTTAGAGTTCCTCAGGGGGGTTTCCCATCCAAGTAATATCCAGATCCAACCTTGCTTAGCTTATTTAAGACTAGTCAAGGCTTGCTGTGACTTCCTTCCTAGATTATTTACAAGCTTAAATTAAATTTCAACTTGTACAAATCCATTACAGTTTTCCAATTTGACTGGTACAGTGTTCATGCATTAAGTTACTAAGTTGAAAATTTACCATGGAAGTAGAAGAGTTTCTTTATCTCTTCTTGTAATATGAGTTTTGGCCAGTTTGCTAACATTATACCAAAATCACACAAGATCCACAAATACGAATATCCAGACAGCAATAATTGACTTACCCAGATCAGTAATAATTCCAGAAAGCCTTTCAAAACACACCTGCACAGAATTAAGGGTCCCTCCAAATTCTGCAAGGCAGCTGAGAGAGAAGTCTACAGCAACAGTTCTACCTGAAAATAATAAAAGTGTCATCACCCACAGACTTGCCAGGGGCAATTCAATTAGGAGGGCTGAGGATTTTCTATTTGACTGAATTGTCACACTGTTTAAGTTACGTTTTATTTAACAAACTTGAAATCTAACCACTGCATAAAATTAATAATGCACACCCTAAAAAGAGTACAAACCATGAACAAAGAAACTTGGTGGCACGATCTGAAAATAAGATGTCACTTGAGAAGAACAGAGAAGTCTTAAAGAAGACTTATTGATTGAGAAGGGGATTTCCTGGCATATGAAGGACATGGAAGATAAAAGGAGACCCCGTGTCTACAAATGTGGCTCTGGGGTTCACATTTCTCAATTTTCTAAGATAGTATTCTGAGCAGAGAGGGCTTGTTGACCTCCCATGTAGTTTTTCTGGGGTAAGCAGTCATTGTCCTCTGTTGATTGAGCAATCCATGCTGATCACCATGAGACAAATTCCTTGAATCAACATGGGCTTTAAAGACAGCAACCTCTAACTAATCCAACTATTTGAGATGCACCAAAAACAGCTGCATTGGTGCCTTATCATTCTTACCAGCAGCTTCCAAAGTGAAACAAAGCTACAAAATGTTGAAACACACATTCTCCTAGACTCCTATTAAAGTTTTGCTTTCTCAACCATTTCTTGTTGGGTGGGATTTATGTTTTATGGATTTTTACCCTGCATAATTCCATTTGCCAATCATCTTGGAAACTGATATCTGTGGTGATACAGAAAGACACCACCGCTAAACAAAAACCATAAGGCTTTCCTTACACAAATTCTTGGAAAAATTACTGCTCTCCAACTGGGACCGTACAGTGATGGGCCAAAAGCTGTAATTAAGTACCATGTAATTGGGCTAAAACCAGAGAATTTCTGTATGAGCAGCACAATAATTATTTACTTTAAGTTTAAAATAACTTTATAATTTAGGTCATAGTAAATATACAGAGACCTGTTCAAGGTCTTGCTGCTCATTATCTAATTTTCCTATTGTTTATGGGATTCACCACCAAATTGTGTTTAGTATGTGAAGAGAAAATAGGCAAAACTCACTTTTAAAACAAATTTACTTTCCCCAAGAGACAAGGCTGATTTGTCAATCAAATGTATCCATCTCTGCAGGCACAGACATTTTCTTCTGTCTCTCCCTCCACACACACAAACACACACACTATATATTTCTTGAATAAATGTGAAGGAGATTATAAGCCTAAACTTGTTCCCAAAGAAAAAAGGACAATAATTCATGCTATCCCTTGGAAGTCAGCTAGAAATAATCTGCTATACCTTCTACGTGCCACAGACAATATTTTAAAAACCCAAAAGGGAAAGTCTCTTTTACAGTTAAGTTCAATTCTTGGTGATCTCAGAGATACATCCATGTTGTTCCTTCAGCAAAGATATTAGAGGAGGTTGACTCTGTATTTTGGGAGGATTTTTTTTAAAAATCCCACTCTAGTCTAAACCCATGGATTTCCAGATGATTTCCCATCCAAGGACTCAATAGGTCCAAGACTGCTTAGCTTTTCAAAACAGGCTCTAGCCAAGGATGCCAAGGGCCTGTCCATGGCTTCGGGTCAATCCAGGTAAACAGAGGGCCAACCTAACCGTGGTGAAAACTGGGTTTTGTTGGCAAATCAGTTCTCTCTGCCAATCCCGCTGCTATCACCTACAAAAGAACTGCATTTCTAGGCCCCACTCGGCAGGCTCATAGCCCACAGTCAATAGTGATTTCTGCTGACGTGCTGCAGACTTTAGTCGCTTCTGGAGCGTGACCCGCAGCAGCTCTGGATCACAGCCCAGAAGATAGCAGTTAGTGGGACAGGCTGAAAACTAAAGAAACGTATTTGCAATTCCTATCAAAAAACCCAAACCAGATTGGATGGGCCTGCCCCGCTACCTCTCGAATCGTAAGTCCAAACAAACTGAACCAGGAGTTCCCATACTTGCGTGGATTGCCTTCTTATCAAAAAGGGATCAGCATTCCCATTGCCTTAAGAGCTTGCTTTCACAAAATATCAGAAATTCTTTAAAAATATAGTTGTTCTTACAGGGTGGGGAGAAGTTAACACATGCTTTTGCACAAACATAGCCTCGGGCGGAATGACAGACAAATTTAAATTACTATTTTCTTAAGCCTACTCTAGGCAGATTTTTTAAAAAAGGCATAATGGCTGCAATTGTTACTTCGCCAAACATTCAGAAATGCACCAAGAGCTCTGTGTAAAGCAGGGGTGCGGCCCCAAAGCCCCGACAGCATTCAAACATCTTCCACCAAATGAATGTGAATGTAGGGAAGATGCTTAATTGTCATGGAATTTAAATTCAACTAAATCAAATTTAGTTTGGGGAGTTTACTTTGGGGTGGGGTGTAGCACCCAGCATGCTGTTCAACAGCAAAGTGTGACTCTGGCCCTCCAAATAGCTACATACGTCTATTGTAAAATAATAGTAATGTAAAATAATACATGGAAATACTGAATAGCAATGTTTTGTTATTATTTCAAGGGAAAGATCAGAAATAATAGAGCCCAAAAGAATATTTGGCCCTGTCCTATCTGCCACCTTGTCTTTTTGCTAAGCTAAGTAAAAATCTAAAGCGTTGTTGTTTTTCTTCACAGAGCATATATTTCAGTTCTTTTATCATATGGCTAGGAACAGCACCTTACATTTATAATGAAATTTCCTGCATTAGCTACATCCTTCCAGAGCAAAGTGTAGTTAGGTGTACTCCTAATATATTTACGGTGAAGTCCATCCCACTGAACACAATAGGACTTACTTTAAAGTTCGCATCGCCAGTGCGAATGGACATAGTGATACTCTTTCCTTACTCAGCAGCATAAGATAGAACAAGAAAGCCCCTTCTTCCTCTTCCTCTCATCTTTTGAAAACAAGAAATGCACTTTGAGATCCAACTGTGCTAGAGTCACTGCTAAAAGGAATAGTCATTCACAGAAAAAACTATGTTCATTCATTCATGGCTGTGTAATCCAGGAAGGCTAATCATAACTGGAGAAAAAAGCTACATAATTAAGCTGATAGTGGTAAGAGGAAAAAAGGTTTCCACAAGGGAAGGGATCAGTGGATAATGGAAGAGTTTCTAGAATGCAAACAGCTATGATTCATGGAAACTTTGAGTAAACGGAGATTTTATCATTCCGTTGCTCCTCGGCCCCTTCCAAGTGCCAAGATGCAGGAGCAGGTAGTAGCATAAACTTTTCAGATGGAAATTTAGAAGGCAGGAGAAGGAACAAACAAACCAGGCTGTGGAAATATTAAAGCCAAAACGAAAAGGCAGGACAGGAGCAAGAAATCAAGGGCAAGCTATAAAAAGAATCTGTCGCTTTGCCAGCATTTCATTTCTAGGCTAATTCCTGCTCTTGGGTGCTACGTGGCAAAGGAGCAGGCCTCCATGAAATGCCCAGGCAAGAGACACAACGTGCAGAAGTCTCAGAAACAGTGTTTTAAACATTATTCAGCATCTTATGAAAGGGGAAAAGATATATATGAACACAGGTAAAAGCCAATCCGGAAAGAGTCTTTATTTAGCACTAGGCCTGGTCAGGAAGTAATTGTTTCCTGTAAGACCCTCAACTTCTTTGGTGTTCTTTCAGGAGAATCAATTGCTTTGCTAAGCAAAGTTGTTAATCACGGTTTTATTGAACAATACTAAGCCATAATGGGTGGGCTCACACATTGTGACAAACCATAAGCCAACGAAACACATTGTATTTTGCTAAACACAACTAGTTGTATGAGAAGATCTTCTCTATGTAATTGTTGTTCCATTGTTTTCTTTTTTTTTCTCTTCTCTTTTTGCTGTTTCTGTTTGTTCAGTTTTATTAAATAAATAACAATGGGATGGGCTCACATGTCATGCTAAAACTAAACCATAATTTATGAGCTCCAATATATGGCTTCATACAATACACAACAGCAAAATCATTTTGCAAAACTAGTCGGTTTCTCTCTAAAAGGCTGAAGGTTTTTCTATAAGAACAGTTAAAAGACCATCCACTTATACTGGACATCACTCAGGTCAGTAACTCTCACACATTTCAATTAAGGTCAGAAACATTTCAATAAGCCACCATACCAAGGAGAATAGTTTTGCCTTTATGCAATTTATTCAGATCTTCTGGAGCTGAAACATTTAAACACTTCTGGTTATTGACACTGTAGGACCCCTTCAGTTCACTGCTTTTTCTATGGTTCAGACAATCAGGCCTCCACTAGAGAAATCAACATTGCAGCTCTTGGCTCCAGCGGGAAGTCCAGCTCAATTAAATGGTTTTCAAACCCTCTCCTCCCATAGAGTTATATTATTAGGATACAGCTCAGAAGAAATGAGTTCCAGGACAAGGATTCTCTTACCCTGAAATGCTCAGCTCCAAACAAAACTAGAATTGCAATGGATGAAGCCAAGATATTTAATAGATCCTAAACTTGTTCTTAGCAGTAATTCACATCAGATGGATTTTTTTTTTTTTTTAAGATAAGTAGTATCACATTCTTAATAACAGTCTCAATCAAAAACACAAAAGACCCGGATCTGGAAAGAGTTCGAACTGAGAAGAGGAAGAAGGTGGAAAGGAACGTTTAATAGCCACTAACGGCAGATCGGGACTGATTTGATTGGTTAAACTGAAAACGCTCCAGACAAAAACTTGAGTTTTTCAACAATGTGCTACTGTGAACAGCCTGCACATTAGTGGTTAGGCAAAACCACTAATGGGCCTCCAGCAGTGCCCCACCCCAGCTACATTTCTATAAAGCTATTGCAGGTGGGAGTATTAGACAGTAGTACCAAACCAACCATCTCAAAAACTTAAGCAAGATCAGACCTGGTTAGTATTTGGATCAGATGATACCAGGAAACTAAGGCTCTAGGCTATATATACTGAGAAGTCAAAAACATATCCTGGAAGAAAGCAAAGAGAAGCTACTTTCTTACTTTTGCCAAAAAAAACCCTACATGGAAGTGTCCACGATGACAGTAAGAGTTAAACTCAGCTTAAGAGCCTTTATTTTACAAGCAAGATGTTCCCTCTGTTTCCCTTCAATTTTCCAATGGATGTATTGCTTTTGGAAGCAATCTATGTTGAAACAGTAAAGGTACAAAAAGGGTGCATTTTCTGGGCTTGCACAATAGACTATCTATTGTAGGCTTGCACAGTAAGCTACTCAAAGGGGCTGGAGTGGTACTACATGCTAAGTTACAAAAAGTCTAATCAAGGTTAACACAGCTAAACATGTAGGGAAATGCAACTGCCAGGTCTTTTTCTGACCTGATTATACAGGCTGCGTGAGCACAGCTCCCAAGAAACTCCCAGAACTATGTAATAATTCCTCAGCCAGACCCATTTTTAAGCAATACTCTTATTGGTCAAGGGTAAATTAGCCTCTATCAGAGCAAGCAGTCCTGAGACCTGGGACAGAGTTGATTACAGCTCCAAGGTCCACCATTAGATATAGCACCAAACATAGATATGTGTGCATCTACAAATTAATAAAATGAGGCAGAAGATTCATCTGTGAAAAAGGAACAGTACAGGGCATTTGTTCCCAATGCCCTTCTGAGCCGTGCTCATGTACTGGCCCATATGGTCCTATCAGCCAATAACCTGCCTCTGCACAACATGGAAAGTCCTATAAGGCATCATAGCCACCAATCTACAGGACGATAGAGGCCAGTACCTGAGCACAGCTCAGAAGGGCATTGGGAACAACACCAGAGGCTCAAAACACCAGTTGCTCACAGGCAGTCGCCCAAGACTCAATCCAAGCACAGCCTGGATTGACTACAGGAAAGCCTACGACTCAATGCCAGATGCACGGATCTGTGAATGCCCGGCACTATACAAAGTCAACAGGACACTAAGGACCTTCCTCAAGAACTCAATGGGACTGTGGAAGACAACACTGGAAGTGAACTCAAGACAGCTCGCACAAGTGGCCCTCAAGTGCAGCATATACCAAGGTGATGCACTGTCCCCGCTGCTGTTCTACATAGGCTTGAACCCCCTCAGCCAGATAATCACAAGATCTGGATATGGGTACAAGTTCAAGAGTGGAATCACCATCAGCCACCTCCTCTACATGGATGACATCAAGCTGTATGCTAAGAGTGAACGAGACATCGACTCACTGATCCACCTGACACAGATCTACAGTGAGGACATTGGGATGTCATTTGGACTGGAGAAGTGTGGCCAGATGGTAGTAAAGAGAGGGAAGGTAGTTAAGACCGATGGAGTGGAACTACCAGTGGGCCACATAGCAGACATA